CCTCAGGAGCAGCAGCAGAGCCGTCAGTCCCAGCTGACTCAGGATGAGAGAGTATCACGATCATACCTGGCTTTAGCCACAGAGACTGTGGATATGTTCCATATCCTCACCAAACAGGTCCAAAAGCCCTTCCTCAGGCCTGTAAGTAAAGAAACATGTTTGGGGGAACCTGATTTCACCAAGTACATCAACATCTTTGTTGATCCTGGAACAACATTCCGATCAGCCAATCAGATTTGAGGGACAATTTTACAATTAATGTCGTTTAGGCTTACAACTAAGGTTAGGTGCTTCTACATCAGTATTATTTACCCATCATTTACCTCTGAATGTAGTGATAACTTATGGGTAGGACTTAATTTTCGGACAGGAATGTTGTTGCATTATCTACAAAATTGACCCAGAAATATGTCTAGGCAAAATCAGGGTGACCAAAACAGTCGTGCTGCTTTATATTTTTGTGGAAACTTTCATACGTTTTCGATTAAAGGGATAGTTCACTTTGAAATTAATTGTTGGTATATTTTAGCTTCCCTCAAGGGCATCCAAGATGTAGGTGTCTGTTTTTTTTAGTCATATAATGGAGGTCTATGGTCACCACCTCAAAGAGCATGCACAGTGAAGTCCAAATTAAACATGATTTAATGACTCACTCAAACCGCTCGTTTCGTGTCTTAGGCCATCAATGTGTACTTACATTTACGAGTCATTAAATCATGTGGTGACCATATACCTCCATTGTGTGACTGATAGACAAGAACGGTTTGACCTAAAAATATCAAAATTGAAAAAATACTGTGCAAACAAAGACACCTACATCTTGGATGCCCTTGAGGTAAAATAAAACATACCAAAATTTAATTTCAAAGTTAACAGAAATTTCAACAGTAATTATTTGAAATTGAAATCTTGAAATGTCACATTTTGATCAATTGAATGTGTCTTTGCTCAATAAAAGTATTCATTTATTTCAGGAAAAAAATATCTTTCTTACCTCAAACTTTTGAACAGAAGTATACCAACAGCTAAAGAGCTTATTAAATGAGCAGAAACAGTTTAATAAATGCATCTAAGCAGGACAGTTGAAGAAACATGTCTTGAGGAAATTTTTAGCCAACAACAAACAGATTTGCATTAGGAAGCTCCTAAAAAGTGGTAAAGTAGAGCATAACAAAATCTATGTAGGTTTGCTTGTTAGGAAAAAGCGTGAGGATTGTAATCTGCTGCTTGCCTGTAAATGAATCTCCTGCGCTCTGCTCTCTTCAGGTATTTATAGTCTTCAGAGAAAATTGAGCCGCTGACAGGGTCAGAACATTGAGTTTATTCAGGAGATTTGAAAAAGGCCACTTCTAATGTATTATATTGTATTGAACAGGAACTGGGTCCTCGTCTGGCTGCCATGTTGAATTATAACCTGCAGCAGCTATGTGGGCCTAAATGTCGAGACCTAAAAGTGGAAAACCCAGAGAAATACGGGTTTGAGCCAAAGAAGCTCCTGGATCAGCTCACTGATATCTACCTGCAGCTGGACTGTGCCCGATTTGCTAAAGCCATTGCAGATGACCAGGTCTGTATTTATTTACTCAACAAAGTTATTTGAACTGTATTGCAAGACAAATAAGTGTGTAACTCAAATGAATGTCTTTATTGCTCATTTTCAGCGGTCATACAGCAGGGAGCTCTTTGAGGAGGTCATTTCCAAAATGAGAAAGGCGGGCATAAAATCCACCATTGCTATTGAGAAATTCAAACTTCTGTTGGAGAAGGTGGAGGAGATAGTAGCTCGCAATTCTCAGTCTGAAATGGATTACAGCGACGCCCCAGATGAGTTTAAAGGTGACGGCTCATCAAGTCTTTAGCAATGTCATACTTTGAATCATTCACTACTGTTTAAAAGTTTGGGGTCAGTTGTAAATGTTTTGGACTGAAGTATCTTAGGCCCCGTCCACACTACTGTGTTTTTGTTTAAAAACTGAGACCTTTTGCTACGTTTGCACCTCCCGTCCAGACTAAAACGGAAAAAACAGAAGTTTAGAAACTCCGTTTTGCGTGTTGAATCTCCGGAGTGCGTTTTAGTGAAGACGGGATAAAACGGAGGAGTTTAGAAACGAGGCTCACGCTCGGCTCTATGATATCCTTCCCTGATTCGTCAGCCACTCTTTAAACCGGCACGCGCATGCCCAGTGTTGGTGAATGGTCACGTGATCCGCGTTTTCAGTCGTTTTAATGTGGACGGAGATCAATGCTAATACGCAGATAAATCGCTGGTGTGGACTGAGATCGTATTCGTTTTAATTCTCCGTTTTTAAACGATAACGCAGTAGTGTGGACGGGGCCTTAGGCTCACCAAGACTGCATTTATTTGATCAAAATACAGTAAATGGTAATATTATTAAATATTATATTATGTTTTCTATTTAAATGTTTTGAAATGCAACTTTTCAGCATCATTACTACATTACAAATCATTCTGAGTTTCTTTGGTAACACTTTACAATACAATAATAACTAATAACTAACTTGAAATAACCATAAGCGATGGCATTTGTTACTGTATTTATTAATCTTTGTTAACGTTAGTTAATAAAAATACAGCTTTTCCTGTTGGTTCACAGTGCATTAACTTATTAACATTAACAAAATTGAATAAATGCTGATAAGTGCAATTCATTATTAGTTCATGCTAACTAATGTAGTTAACCAATGAACCTTATTGTAAAGTGTTACTTTTTCTTATATGGAAACCAGGATACTTTTTTTCATACTTTGATGAATAGAAAGTTGAGCATTTAATTAAAACATTAAAAATGTATTTAGTGTCACTCTTGATCAATTGCAATGAATCCTTGCATAATAAAAGTATTCATTTCTTCAACAAAACAAACATTTGAATAGCAACAGATTTACTAGTCGATTGAAGTTAGTAAATAACAGCGTGCTCCTACCTGAACAGACCCGCTGATGGACACTCTTATGACTGATCCCGTGCAACTTCCCTCTGGCAACATCATGGACCGATCCATCATTCTGCGACACCTCCTGAACTCTCCCACCGACCCCTTTAACAGACAGCCTCTCACAGAGAGCATGCTGGAATCAGGTACCAACCACACACCGCTTTTCAAAGATTGCTTCTTTCAGTCCTGCTGCCAAATGCACTCTGTGACTTGACTTTTTTCTGTTGCTGACTGTATTTTTCCCCTCTCTCCACAGTCCCAGAGCTGAAGGAGCGTATCCAGGCCTGGATGAGAGAGAAGCAGAGTGGCCGCTTTTAAGTTTTCTCAGTGAGCCAAGCTTGCCCCTCAGTATAAATGTTTTTATCACGCTGGAAGTAAACTGAAGAGAAACAGAAAAAAAAAGATGAGAGTACCCAAATTGTTTTTGCCTCCCTTTATCCTTATGGAGCCACTGTCTGAAAGGCTCATGATTCTAAATTGGAGCTTAATAAAGTTTAGACTTTTGAAACATTTTGATTTTTGAATTTGTATGTCTGCATACATACCAAGCTGAAAGGGCACACATTCTCACTCAAAACCAGAAAGAAGACATTCTTGTTGTTTTCATTGACTTCTACATTGTAATGGTTCTGACAGTGAACACTGAGGGTTCATGTTTGTGAGATATTTGGAAGAATGTTGTCAAGTAACACCAGTATTTCCATTTTTACACTCAATAAACATTGGCTGTAGACATACAGTTTACAGTCCACTCCCTAACCTGCCGTTTATTTGATATGGTTGGAGAAGTACAGCGTATTTTAAATAAATTAACAAGCTCTAGACTGTCTTGTAGAAAATACAATAGATGTTGGTGTAAATTGATAAAGCATCAGATGGTGATTGACTATGTATTTGAATTTTGTTGGTTTGCACAGAAATCTCATTTGTACAACAATTTGACTAAAAGCTGAAGCAGAGCTGAAACCCTGGATCAAGTGAGAGAATGTGAAGCTGTGTTGTAGCATGATCATCATAAAAATGCCAGTATATCATGTTTTTTTTTCTTCTTTTCACCAACATTTGTTTTGGATCATAAAGGGTCATCATCTCTTGTTATTAATGTTAACCCCAGTTGTTGGATTTCAGCATAAATTAAAAGAGTTTTTCCAGTGAATTAAAAGGGTTTATCTGTACAGGAATTTGCTTCCTTTGTTACAAAATTCTTTTGAACTGTAATAAATGGGAATGCACACAAGGTAGCCATTGCACTTTTTTTTACCTGTCCTCTTAAATTCATTCATGTTTTTATTTATTTATTTTTATAAAATCATTTGAAATTAAGGTATTAAATATTAAATTGTTTCATGGATGACACTGGCTGTTGATTTAGTATAATTGAAATACTATTCTAGTTTTTGTTCTTCAATTTTAATTTGTTACTACTTTTTTGTTTAATTTCTAGTTTAGTTTTAATTTAGTACATTATATGTTACTAAATGAAAATGAGAAATACAATTTTTTGTTACTTGAAATTATTCATTCAAGTAGAAAATGTGTTTTTATGGTTTTAGTTAACAGGAATAATCCTGGGTACAATTTTAATGTAGCCACATTTTAAAATAAAATAATACATAATTGTCAATCAGTGTGGTCTATGAGGAGCCAGCTTCTATTCTAATTAATTGCTCACTTTTATACACTGTTTTGAGATGATTCAAGTCTTATGACTATTTAAAAAAATAATGGGTGTAATTATTTTTTGAAAGAACGTATTTAGAAATTTAGTATTCTAAACCGTTCTTTTAATTAATTTCTAATGTATTGCTGCTATCCCTGTTTCTGCTAGGCGGCGCCCTTCACTTTTGTGTAGTGTGATGCCACGCCACAGCGGATCGTAAGCGACCCTGCAGTATTGCGTCACAGCTGCCCAGCCCACCTTAGTTTTCCCAGCGTTCTCATTGGCTACCCGACGCATTGCTCACACAATACTCAGTTCTTATTGGCCAGACGGTCTGTCATTCACGATGTTGACACGGCAGTTGACGTAATCATTTCAGTAAATCAAGGCATTCATCCATATCCTAAGCCTGCTAGAGGAAAGGTCCAACGACACCAGCATCAGCCTAATAAAAACATCATATTGCGCGGTGCTGGAGAATTAAACGGAGCTATAATGGGTGTAAATAACAAGAACGGAACTATTAAGAACTTAACCGTCAGTCTTTTTTGATTTTTGCTGCTGGTTTTAGACGTCATTGGAGAATTGGCACCGTGCAGGATTTCTATGGTGTTCTAGTCGTCTCTACGTGTGGATATAAAGCGGTAAGTCTCGTCTTTTCTCTAAGATGATTGTAATACTTGTGCATTTGAGTTTGACATTGCCCGAGTTCCGTTTAGGAATGCTAATGAATGTTTTGCTTTTTTTAGCAGTTGATTGCTTTAGCGCAACTTAATAGTGGTATTCTGCTCTTGTTATTTATTTAAATTTATACATGACAATAAATGTTCAAATGACAAACCCATTTGAGGGTTATGCTAAGAAAGTCACCGAGTTCACAGAAAGAAGTCCGCTTAGTGATGGGAAGTTCGGCACATTTCCATGAATCGGTTCATTCGAACTCAAACTGATTCAGTGATCCCCATTCTTGTTTCACTCCATATGCTCGTACTGCCACCTCAATAGTTGGTTATCAGTATTCTTCGTTGAATAAATCAGTCCATGAGTCGTTGACTCCAGAACCTCTCAGTCCTATTGAATTCGTGATAGCAGTTCATTCCGCCTGGGGAACCGGTTCCCAGCAAGGATCCGAATCAAAAGAACGATTTGTTCTCAAATCGGACATCGTACCTCAAGGAAGCCAATTCTTCATGTTACAATGTCATACTTGATTTAAGTTAGTGCTTTTTAGAATAATTAAACGGTTTGATCAGATTTATATCTGTGGTAGATCATTCTGACTTCGTGTAACTATGCCATCGCCGGATATGTTGTTGCTAGTCGCCCATCAATATCTAGTCTCCGTTATTAATCACTGAAGTCGGTGTATCCTTGAACGATAAACGTTTTTAATGTATTGTGTTGTTTTAGTACCATACAATTCTATTAGAGTGGATCGAAAGAGAATTTGTTTGTCTTATTATTCGTCCCTGATGTTGACATACTTGTGTTTTCTCCGGCAGATTGATTTTCATGGGCGTATGCCTTTAATTCAGTGAATGACTACAAGGGCAAGGATGAAAACATCCTCTTTTTGGTGTCATGTGCTTGAACAGCGTACTATTCATTTCTCAGTCACACTCAAGAGATTTGAACTTCAAAAATAATTGCTGCATTGTCAGATTCGTCGTAATCCACAGCCGGTCGATAAAACCAATACTAAATAACGAATGTCACGCCCATAAGTGATACATGCATTTTTAAATGAAATAAACTGGCGTTATTATGTGTCTGTACATGTTATTTTGATATGTCATGATGGTATTCAGATGTGTTTACTTGTGTAGTGAGCGTGTGAACTCATAGGCCCAGCCCTGCTGCTGCTGCTGCAGGCGAGCGGCCGCCATGTTTATGAGTCCGTGAAGGAACCATCTAATATTCCTGATAAACTACATCTGTGTGTGTGTGTGTGTGTGTGTGTGTGATGGATATCTACCTGTATACTATGGTACTGTTTTTGTCCACCGGATATTTAATAGGATAAATGGGTTGTTGACATATAACTGGCTGCTCCATGAACATTTTTTATATTCAGATTTAAGATTTTTGGGTTAATTTACATAAGGGAAAGGGAATGTTTATGTCTTGATCTTTTTTCGTCATTAGAATTATCATAAGCATTCCCACAGACATGAAAAAAAAACACTAAAAAATATTAGGAATTTTAAAATGTTGATTCCATGTTTTACCCCTGACATATGAAATAATAATAATCTTTTTTTTATTGACATAATAAAACGGAACAGTTTCTTGAACCTTTTTGACATAGGCTAATGCAAAAGAAAATCTAAACCGTTTGCATGTTTTCTGTTTTTTTTTATTTATTTATTATGTTTTGGCCTTTTATGGCTTTTGGGGCCAATATAGTGTGATTACAATGAGAATATCAAGCTCAATATTGAGGAGAAAAACGCCTCAATTGTATTTAGATGGCCATTTGGTGCAAAATGTGTTTATTTATTTATAATGGCAAAAAAGTAAGATCAAATTTTGATAGCTTGTAATGTAAATGAGTCTAATTTTCAGTGAAAACCGTATAGAAGACTAGTACTACTTGCTTAAACTGCATAAAGGTATTCATAAGTCGTCACTCTATATCTCCCAAATATGTCTTAATAAGATATTTAAATGATTAGATTTTTGATCAAAGAAAGCTCTGTAGTTTTAATTGTGTGGGGAAAAACATAATGCAATGCAATACAATCATGATTGCGAGATAATTTGCAAGTACAAATAAATGTTCAGTTCATTTTAAAATATTAATATAAGAGTTACACTTAAGTTTAATGTGTAACATAGGCTAAATGTGGACATTTTTATAATTATACCTAAAGGCTTTCTACTTGCTAAACATATTTAGAGGCCTTAGAAATTCATGTATCAATAGAGTTATAGATTTTAAATCATTGACATTTATACTGCTTATTGTGAGTATAAAAATAATCCCTGATGAATCTAATATTAAGTAAACAGAAGTTCATTTTCTGTGGAACCATTTATCTTTTTCTTTTATGTTTGCTTTCGTCATCCAGCAATTTTAGAAAATCTTCTCAAATGCCTCATAACCTCTAATATCATCATTGCATAAATGATGGTGCCTTCTGATCTATTTAGAAGTCTTGTTTACTCAATGCAATCTAATGAGATAATTCTGGATAACATCTATGAAATGTGTTCTTGTACCTTTAGCCTAATATCTGTGGCACTGGAAAAACAACAACATAATTTTGTTTCTTTTTGTAGGAGAACATTTTTTGGGATTGAATCACACCAATTTCAACCATGTCTGGCTCAGTGAAAGTGGCTGTCAGAGTGCGACCCTTCAACTCAAGGGAGACCAACAAGGAATCAAAATGCATTATACAAATGCAAGGGAACTCCACCAGTAAGTATATACTTGTCTCTATGGCTCTCATACTTTGTTTGAATTGTTTGCTTGTTGCATTTGGTCACTTGCCTCCAGACAAGGTGGTTCTAGTATATGCTTTTGGCTTTAGCCTGTGAGATGTTCAGAGTTAGATTATTGGAAATCTGAAACCTGAGTGACTGAAAAGGAAGAGTAGAAATAGATATTCTGTTTGATCTTGAAGGAAAGAAGAGCCTCTCTGTGTGAAATCCCCTTCCTTTGGAAAAATTAGAGGACTCGAAGACTTTCTGCCTTGGGGATTTTAGTGTGTTAAGGTGTGAAGATACTGTGTGGCTTTAACCTGCTGGCCGGGCCTCTTGTTCATCAGGTTTGCTTTAGTTTAGTGTTAGAGGAAGAGAGAGCCAGTGAAAGGAAATGAGTTGATAATATCGCTTGTGTTTTGAGTGGTATCGTTATTGCAGCCTAATGAAGAAGAACGCCTGACCACACATCAAGAATTCATGAACCCTTTGATATTAAAATAGTTTCAGTCAAAATTTTAATCTAAAATTTTACTATTTGACTCATTTGTAGAAGATAAAAAAAAAATCAGTCCGTGTGCATTGTGAGTGTAATTTGGCATACTGTATTAGCTGTTTTTTGGACAACATATGGGTTGTTAACATCCTTTTGCGAGCAGTGAGTCATTATGCTCACTGAGATGTGATTCATCGAGCTGTTTTGAACAGGGTAACATTTAACACAGAAATGGTGGTGTGCTAATCCTTAAGATGCATTAAGAAAGAAAATATGGACCTATGTAACCTTTTAAGTTGCAATGACAGCATGTGAGTGATAAATTACCCAGTGAGGGTTTGTTTTTATATATTGGCAAAGATGTAGGCTAAATTGATGTATAGATGGATATCCAAATCAAGTCACTAGCTTTTGCTTCTGATTTCGATTTGATTTGATTGATTCATTTGTCTATTTCATTAATAATTAAGGTCAGTAATAAATAATCCAGGTCTACTTTAGTTTACACTTTATATTCATTCAAATGAACTGGTTCATAAGAGTCATTTGATCGTAGAGGTGTGTTAAACACTGGCTCTTTGGGTTTGTAGAATCAATTAAAGTTGTTCAAAATAAGATTGAGATTAATTGGAAAATCAATATTTACCCAGCCATAGTTTTAACTTTATAAGGCTTCAAATCTCATCATTGGAAGAGGATGCATTGGACTCAGTTAAAGGGGTCATGACATGGATTTTTTTTATTAATATTTGATACGTTTCTTAAGGTTCACTTATAATGTTAATGTAAAATCGTAATTAGACAAACCATTATGAAATTGTTTAATTTTGGATGAGACCGATAGATAGCTATACTTTTTTATATTTGAAAGCCGATAACAGTCATATTGGCTGATAAATCTAAATTTATATAATTTTTGAGTGCCTGATTACAAAAACAGAAGTATCACTATTAAACGGCATTTTAATTAAACCATATTGTGGATGAAAATGAAAAATAAAAGTGCTAAATAGTATTAATGATGCATCAATGTTTTTGAATATACTACATGAACAACATTACAACTTATATGCACAAAATGACGCATTTTTGCACAAGTGAACTTAAACTAAGTTATGTGCTAGCCAGAATATGTGACTACTGTTGTGGATTCGTTCTTCGCATCAACGCACTGAAACGTGCCAAAGAGTTCACAATGTTTTATTACAATAATGTTCTCTTTATAATGTTATGTAGCCTATATGACAGACCCAATCATAGTGATTAATGTTGTGCATTGCTGCGTGTGCTGAAGCTGAAGAGCTGAATAAACACTGGTAAACTGAAGACCTTTGCTAGAGGCTTATTTAACTCGACAAATTCACCCTAGAGCTTGATTTTACTAGTCAAATATTGGCTTTAATTATTCAGCCAAATTTTTGTCATCCTGAATAGTTAGGCTGTGTGAGAGATGCTTTTGTCATATCAAACATTCTCTTCATTTACATAATCATTATTGGCCTAAACCCCATGGTAAACAAGGGGGTCCATAGGAGGTACAAGGTCACCTGAGAGAAAGCCAGAGTTGCACAGGAAGTTGAGCTCAGAGACTGCAGTCACAATGCACTCTAGCACATATGCGCAGACTGCGTAGTGCGTGCTGAAACCGGAGTGAGAGGTTAGCATTCGGCCCACCCCCTTCATTAGGACACTACTGCAAATGGTTTTGCTGGGAATGTTGTCTTATACAGTGCTGAGGCGTCAGGGTCAAGGATGCTTGTGGCAAATACACACAGCAAAAAGCAGAACGACCTTAATGTTTGGTCTCTAGTGATTCGTTTGCTCTGAGATGTGGTAACCATGGTGATGTCCACTGCTTAGACTGCATCTTTAAGTCAAGTGTTTGTCTGGACTGTTTGTTTAACTTGTGCTATGGTGTTCTGAAACCTAAGTTACTGTATGAATGAAATGCAAGAGTTAAAAGATAAGACCGTAGCTTCGATTTAAATTCATGTACAGACGTTGCAGACCTCACAAGGGAAAGCTGTTCCATATCCTAGATCCATGATCACTATCCATGATCACCTCGCAACTTCAATCTTGATCTTGGATATGACAGTATAATGCTGTCTTAGGATCGCAAGCATCTTGTTGACTTTTTTTTCTACAAACTTAAAAACTAGCAACAAAATTTTAAATTCAACTCTATAAGACACTGGCAACCAATTTGGAGACAATAATATCGGAGTAATATGTTCTCGTCTACGAACCCCAGTTAAAAATCTGGCTGTAGCATTTTGCACCATCTGAAGCTGTGACTTGGAGGATTGGGGTAATCCAATATACAGTGAATTACAATAGTCCAAACGAGATGAAACAAAAGCATGTGTGACATTTTTTTAAGATCATTAAAAGATAGAAAAGTTTTAACTTGGGACAGAAGTTTAAGATGGAAAAAACAAGACTTTACTACAGAATTTTATATGTTGTTCAAACTTCAGAGATGATTGGGCTATCATCTGCATAAAAATGAGAAGACACTCCATGCTTCCTAAAAATTGAGCCTAGTGGTAGCATGTATAGTGAAAATAAAATGGGAGCCAGAATAGACCCTTGAGGAACACCACAGGTAACTATTCTTCTATTACCGTATCTGCTGTAAAATGTCTGTTTCCAGAGGAATATGTGGGCTTTTGCTTGAGTGAAGTATAAATATCGTTTTTGGAAGTTGAATGTTGCTACTCGTGTGTGTGTTGTATCTGAAAGAAGACACATTAAGCTTTGGGTTTTATGGAGATTAAACCGGTAAAACCTTTCTCTCTTGAGAGATGTTGGCCTCTTGCACTGTATCTATTGTTATTGTGACCTAACCTTTTCCTTTATGAAGGGAAAACTGTTGAGGGAATGAAAACTCATCTCTCTTTTCATCTTCAGCAGTGATGTCCTAAACAAATAATATCACTGTGATTGTTCACAAAAATCTTGGATTTAAAGGGATAGTTCGCCCAAAAATTTACATTTTGTCATCACTTACTCTCAAGTTGTTCCAAACCTGTATGAGTTTCATTCTTCTGTTGAACACAAAATAATTTATTTTTAGGAATGTCGGTAACCATTGACTCCCATAGGGTTTTTTCCTGCTATGGAAGTCGAAGGCTACCGATAACTATCAGGTTACCAACATTCTTTAAAATATCTTTTTTTTTTTTTTTTTTTAAGAAAAATACTGTTTTCTACTGAGGAACATTAAATTATATTTTGAGATGTTTTTTTGTTCGTACAATGGAAGTCAATGGGCTGACAAAGTTATTTGGTTTCCAACAGGGATGAGCATTTTTGTCCATTTTTCATTTCGAGTATTGATCTGTATCAAAAATGAGTGAGGGGGGGAGGTGTGTCCATGGCGATAATGAAAATATTTGAATTAAAACATTGTTATGAAAATTATTTTTAAATAATTATGACATGAAATGTCTATCAAAAAATGAAAATATGACGAACAATAACACATCACTGTTTTCACATCTCTAAACACCTGTAAACTAAAGCCCATTCTATATGATGCAGATGAGATTAATTCGATATCGTAGATGCATAACATAAACGTAACATTACCTGCAAGTTGTGAAACCCGGATTCTATAACCAAACTCCAATTGCACGTTAATACATACAGTTATTCGAGACGCTACTACTGTGAGTGGCTGTGTGAGCATTTCGAGATTCACACCTGTAAGTAAATCTGGATGTCAATCCCAAAAACTGCAGTGTGAACATAGCCTTAGATCATTTGACCAATTATTAACCAACCATAATGGTCTAGCAACCACATTAGTACAGTACTAGCTGCATACCTTGGAAATTCTGTTAGTATATAAAATGGTGATGAGATGAAACTCCATTTACCATGCTGATGCTACACTGACCTCTTATTTTAGAATGTTTCATCTCTGCTAATGAGATGGTAGATGGAGTCATCCTGACAGCAGGCCCTTGGGGACCGCCATCACAGACACAGGAGGGGAAGAGTTGTCTGTAAAAGCTTTGCACACTGAAATTGAGAGACAGAAAAGCTTTTATTGATTTGGAAAAGAGAGAGAGAGAGAAAGGTGAAGGGAATTCATAGATTGATGTGCTTCTGACACTTGGAAGGTCATCTTGCTGTCAGGCTTTAAGTGCAGACAGAAACGATTGACCTGATTACGGATGTAATCCCGTGAGCATACCTGAGGTGACCAGACTACTGCATTAATCTCAGTGACCATTGCAGGTGCATGGGTGTAAACTCAAAATGCCACTTCTTACCTTACAGATTATAGCTGCACCTACCACTCAACCCGGTAGATGCATGCGTGCCGGTGTAAACAGTGGCTGACGAATCAGGGAAGGATACGTCATGACTGATGACATCCAATCATAGAGCCGAGTGTGAGCCTCGTTTCTAAACTCCTCCGTTTTGTCCCGTCTTCACTAAAACGCTCTCCGGAGATTCAAAACGCAAAACGGAGCTGCAGCGTTTCTAAA